GGAGCAGAAAAGGTCTGCTCCAGGGTTTAGTTATTCTTTTATTTCTTCATATTGTTGCCTTTTTGTAATTGGAAGTGGGATTATTTTATCCTGGTTATATTTTTTGGCAGAACCTAACAGTGATGTACCAGAAATGTTTCATACATTTTTAAAATAACCTTGTTGACTTAAAATATGACTGTTTGATTGTTGGTGGTGATTTCAGTGACATTTTGGATCCTTTGCCGGAGCAAAATATACTTCTGCCAAGAAGACAATCCATGGTGAGAGTTACTTTACAGGGATATATGAATGAATATGGTTTAATTGATGCATGGGGAGGATAGTCCTTGTAGTCCATCCCAAAGAGAGGTGCAATATGGAGAACATGGAACCCCTAGCTTGTACGACTTCAAATTCGTTTTTTAAAGAGCTGGCAAATCTTTGAATAATGGGACCTGAAACTGTGGGCCACTCCTGAGATTTATTCGAAGGCTGCCACTCAAACAAAGAACGCTCCATTGATTCGTTCCATGCATTTTATTCAATTTAATTGATTCAATCTGAACCAGTTTGCATATGCATAGGAACCAATGCTGTGAAGGAAAGGGAACACTATGTTTTTAGGTGGCACGTTCATGTGTTGCAACATTACCATATCATTTTTTGTTGCTGTTATTTGCTTATCTGGAATATGCCTTGGAACTTTCTTCCAGAGTTTGGAAAAGTTACTTATTTGATCTAAGATCATTTTATTTCTCCTTTTGGAAGTCCACGGTATTTGTAAAACTCTCCTCCAGCATCACAGCTGTGAATGAGTGCTTGTTTTAGATGGCATTTTGGAGGTTCCCTGCCAAAATTCAGCAGGGTGGGGTGGGAAGGAGGACTGGGGAAGTGGACATTGTCAGAACCCTTCTCACGAGTTTTAAAAGAAATGAAAAGATATGTTCCTCAGATAAGTATTTAAGAATCAAGATGTAAATATTTCAAAATGAGAAACTTTGTTTATTGCATTTTTATCTCACCATTCCTTTAGGAGGGCAGCAAAAGTGCCCTGTTACAAAGAATCATAGATGGAAGAGACCAAAAGGGCCATCCAGCCAAACCTCATTCTGCCATACAGTAAGACACAATCAAAGCACCCCTGACAGATGTCCATCCAGGGCAACTAAAATGGAGAAGGGACTGGAAACCATGAATCCCTATGAGGAACGACTTAGGGAGCTGGGGATG